GAGAGAAACAGAAAAAAAAAAATCCCCCCCCCCCCCCGGGGGGGTGGCCACACCGCAGTCACTCCTGCATTCTCCTCTCGGGATTTTGGGCACACATGCACACGTGTCAGGAGTGTTTTAAGTTACAGGGTCCAGGGTCGAACTGCAGTCGACCTCATGGGAGTCCAGTGACGTAGCCATTGCACCATCTACTGGTCCCACTTTCTCTAATTTCTTAATTATCAACAAACATATATTCTTGGCTTGTTATAAAGCCATGATGCATTTTTGGATAGAAAAACAGAAAAATACAGCATGACTTTTCTGAGGACTCGATATTTCTATTTGTATAACAACACCATTTTTTTTCCAAATACATGCTGACCCACTTTCGAAATTTGACCCTCTCAGTTTGTTTTTAGTTCTTCATCAATAGCTCCTTCCAAGGATTTTCCCAGATTGCAATCAAGGATTCCTCATTAGAGCCATAAATATTTTATTTATTAATTTTGCTTGACCAATCCGAGTACTAAGGACAGAGAAAGACTTCCTGGCATTCCCAGCTTCCTCACCCACCGAAAGGACTATAGTCAGAGGCTTCAAATTCCTTTAGGAAAGACCCCAGCCACAGGCCAAGGGAGCTGCTCACTGGAGGCCAGATGTCTTTCTTCTGGATCGCTCTCACTTTTTTCCCTTTTTTCTTTTCATTTTTTATCCATCACACAAGTAATATTAAAATGACAATAAAGAAAAAAACCCACCTCTGCACTGCCTCTCATTCATTTCCAGTTTTTGCCTTCTGTGTGGTTTAAATAAATCACAGGGAAGGTAAGTACAGACATGCTCAGATGGGGCTTGAAGCCTTTTTGCCTGTGCCTGATCCAGGTGCCCTAGACTAAAAGGGCAAAACCCTGACTTTGACCTAGAACGAAGCCCTTTGGTTATGTTATTTAGCTCTGGGAGATGAGTCACCGAAAGAGAAAGGTGCAATGTTGTACCTTTTCCATCTTATGTTGCTACTTTTTCCATCTTATGTGAAAATATTTATTTGAAGATAAATATTTTTTAAAGCTGTTACATTATTTTCATAATCATTTTTTCTTTTAAACCTCACTCATGATCACTGTGAAAAACTCAAACAGCATGGGGTACCTTTTTTCTATTTCTTACTGCACACTTCTGGTATTTTACATTCAGGTTCATTTAAGTTCTTTATTAGGAATGGATATTAAACTTTACCATGCCTTTTAGCATCTATTGAGATAATTACATGGTATTTCCCTTCTTACAGCCATTTTATTCTGCATTATTGAGGTACCACTGAAAAATAAACTTATAATTTTAAGGTGTACAACACAATGATTTGATACATGTGTTTATTGTAAA